TTTATCCACTTAGTGAATGAAATCTGTGGCCCCTGGTTTCACAAGAGCTGTTGTACATTAAATTATTAAATTGTACTGAACCCTTAAAGTATTTGGATCACAATGAGTGACTGAACAAGCAGCATGCTTATTGGCGACTAATTGTATCAGATGGATTTGATCTGTCAAATAAAACGGTGAAAACTGCATTTTTGTCACGTCTATTCATGTTCTAATGCATTTGCCTGCTGATGTTTCTGTTTGTGCACTTTAGCGATAGCTCACAATTTCTTCAGTTTTACCTTTTGACTTTCAGTTCTCAATGTACCAAGCAGACCCTTTAGGAGAAGTCGGATGACAATGTACTTGAGACCTTTAAATACAGTGTATAAAGCATGAGGTATACTCTTCTTCCTCCGAGAAATTCTGACCATTTTTTGGTAAAAAAGATGCAGTAAGAATATTTTCATTATGATTTGCCTGGAATTTTCCTAGAAATTGCTTTTCCTGCTGAGGGAGGTTGTACTTTTTTGTTTTTTTCTTCTTTTTTAAATCATGGCCATAATTCAGTATAAATGGTGCTCTTGGCTTTAAGATAATGGAAGCATTGTTCCTCCAAGCAATACTGAAGCTTTCATGTCAGGAAATTCTGTCGTGCTGCCATAAGTGATTAATTATAACGTTATTATAACATTATTATTATTACACAAAATGATATTACTGCAAATTGAATACCACTTAAGTGCACTCAGATTGCTTTATGTGCTCTGTTTTTCAGATTCATTACATCCAAATTACGGATTTACTATCATTCTTGAGAACTATCATTCATGGATATAAGCACAGACACCTGATTTCATCTTTAGCTTGTACTGGTTGGTTAATTGTCATATGTGAACTGGGTTCAAAGGTCAGCAGGGTATAGCTTCACCAGTAAATCTCAGACAAAAGTTATCGGTAAAGTTTGGAAGATCTCATATAAAGTAATTGCGTAGCGACTCTGGCCTAACAGACCTTATCAGCCTCAGCTTTGATTGAACTTGATCATTAAACGTAGATACGTCCAGTACTCATCAGAGAGCAAAGTCCGAACAGAGATCCCTCAGAAAGTGCACCGGTCTACAAAAACTTTTATGTGAAAGTTCCTAATATATTTGGAAGATTACAGAAATGTAATAAACTTGCCCGAGTCATTAAAACGGCAACGGTTTCAATGTCATCAGCAGTGTCATTTCAAGTGAAATTGCCGCCACCTACAGGACACCGAAAGTTACGCAACGACATTTTGTAACACTCTTTTTAATTGAACGTAAAGGTTGCACAATCAACATGCATGTTTGTTGAAACACGCAAGACATTATGTCTAAAATTGGTCTATATTCTGTATTAATGTTGTTTGAATAAACATTTGGAAATCCATGGCTTTGCAATATGCCAATGAAATATATTAACATTTTTGTTTATGGTAGATGTAATTTCGATGCTGTGACATTTAATATGGATATATTTGTTAAATCCTGTTTATTTAAAGCTTTACGACTAGAATGTCTTGTTGATTTATGCCTTTGACATAAATAGGGCAAGTACACTGCCCGTCTGTGTTTGTCATTGAGAGGAACCCCTGCCAGATCTTGTATATCGGTATAATATGTATTTGTCTGTAAACTTGTTATGTACCCTTTTATTTATTTATTTTATTGTATTTATTTTTATTTTTTTCCTTTCATTTTCTTTTTCCTTGTTCCTTCTTGTTGAGTCATGTGTAATGTTTTTGTTATATAGTGAGATATGGCACTGTACTTGCTACTTGTTGACAATAAAGCATTAAAAAAAAGATCTTGTATATCGAAGATGGAGCAAGTGTTGGGTCACAACAGCATCGTTTCACTTCTCTTGTTTGACATACGATCTATGAGCAGGCTGTGGACACAGGGATAGTCTAGTGAATGTGTGTGTAATAGTGTAATAAACATATAAAGCAAACATTTATTATCCCTTTTGTGTCAGTTACATCAACATTCTCAAGGTGAATGTGTCTGATACAGGAACTGAGATAAGGAATATGAATAAGACATGAGCTGGGAGGGATCAGAGGACGGTGCTGCCACAGAACTACACTAGAGAGCAGCAGTCAGCTATATTTCATTTTCTTTCTTTCTTGTGTAAAAATGCAGGGGGAAAAATAGAAGAGTTACAGTTACAAAACTCGCATGCAGATTGGCTAATAAAGATGTTATTATTCTTTGTTAATTAAGAGACTACATGAAATATTTGTACTTTTTAACAACTTAACAACTGCAACACTTTATTTTACTTATGGGCTTCAAGGATAACATTCAGAATAGTCAGCAGATTAGTCTCTCTGATGCAATACACTTAAAAACTGTGAGAAGTTAGCCTCTTTATATACATTATGTGCCATGAATTCACCAAATGACAGTATATTTGTGAGACTGACTGCCTGGCTTTCGCAAAATATACATTTACGTAAACCATTTTAGTTCCAGGAACACTTAGTAATATAAACCATTTTGAGTTCCAACAGAATATTACAAGCAAAGAAAACAAAATTGCATGCTTTCACACTTGTGAAATATGCTTGACAGGGTAAATAAGAAAAACAAAACACTTTTAAGATTGAGTAAGTTCCCAAATCTGCAAGCTGTTAACCATGGCAGTAATTTGAATTATGATGATATCATCATAAATACATATCATTCATTGTTGACTGCATGTCTTCTGTGGTATACACTCTAAAAAATGCTGGGTTGTTTCAACCCAATCTTGGGTCAAATATGGACTAACCCAACTGTTGGGTTAAAAAGCTCATTTAAAAATGTAACCAAAATTTAACCCAACAGTTGGGTTAGTCCATATTTGACCCAACATTGGGTTGAAACAACCCAGCATTTTTTAGAGTGTACTGTTCTTTAAGCTGTTAATATTTTTATATAATTTCTAAATTAGGAAGGATTCAGTTAAAAAGTCAATTTGATGTCAACATCTGAAATACTGAAAATTATGTTAACAAAAAAGCATATTGATCTATGTTAAAGTATACACTTAAACCAGTCATGAAACTCGTAAAACCAAGCCTTTATTTTCTCGGGGATCAATTGAGATTTGTTGGGTGGAGCTTCTAAAGCAAAGTTCTGTAATGCACTGACCACACACTCACACAGCCAGAGTGGACCACAGAACTTTCCCCGAGGAGCCACGGTTGAATGTGTGTGTTTCTCTGTATAAGCGTGTCCATATGTTCATACTAATTTGTGTGGGTATGCAACTTTTGGAAGATGAAGCCTATAAGTCTTTTTGAATTCTAGATTTGTCTTTAAAATGTATCAAACATTTACTGCAATCATTTGGGCTTCAGTCAGTTCGCTGGCAGTTGCCTTGAGAAGGTTACCCACTGAGGACCAATCAGCTCCTGAGGTTCCTGGGAAGTAAAACACGTGTTAGAATTTATGCCCACTCTCTAGAATGAGCTGACGTGTCTCCATGCATTAACTTCAAACTGTTGCAACAATATTTAGGAGAATCCTAATTTGACACAGTCTGTAATAGGAGGTCTTATTTTATACAACCCGCAAAGGTTTATTTTGGCATGTTGAAACAAGAAAAAAAAAGTATATATGTGCAATATATGAAAACATACACATATACTTTTTCCTCCCAATGTAGGCTATAACAATTCACCAATTCCGTTTTCAGAAGCATATTTAAGAATCAACAATGTAGTACATACTAGCCTACATGTGAATTTGTAAAGAGCTGAGAGCTGTTGTTTAAAACAACAGTCATCCATGTTTTTGCACAGGTTCTCTGCTCAGGTTTTGTATCCAAAACTTCTCAAATTACTCTGTGAAACAGTTCAAGCTTGGCATCACTTTAAGATCTGCCTAAAGCTGTATAATTTAGTGCGCACGCTTTTCTGAGTTTAATGCATCACCTCCAAAAACATAAACCAGAGGCCAAAGCCACTAATGAAAGTTTCATTCTGGACTGTAAAGTGTCTGCTTACCTCACGGCTGACCGGTGGCTCTCCTGGCTGAAGCAGTCTGAATGCATTGCTGGACCCTTTCTCTCTCTCTCTCCTGGCTGAAGCAGACTGAATGCATTGCTGGACCCTTTCTCTCTCTCTCTCCTGGCTGAAGCAGACTGAATGCATTGCTGGACTCTCTCTCTCTCTCTCTCTCTCTCTCTCTAAAGGAATGTCGACGTGGAGCTGCCAGACGTGAACGTGTAGGGTGCTCATGAACGCGCTCATCAGAGATCTTCTCTGAGCTCGAACCCTTGGCATAGGTCGAGAGTGGGCATGGCGCTAATCACAGCTACCTGTCACATTTCGTGGCGTGTTGAAAACTGAGGGGGAAGACATTCTTGAAAGACGGACAATGCATGATTCATCTGAAGCTGTGTTTAAATACATTATGTGCATTTCATTTGATAATGTAGCCTATTACGTTGTACACTGTGCATGTTTAATGTTGGGAACATTTCATCAAAACAAAATCCTCATAATGGCCTCACTTGGCCATTTTTATTTTTTATTTTTTGCTTTTTTTTTGCTTTTTTATTACAAAACTTGTAGAAACATACAGAAACAGGGAAGCGAGACATGAATATATTCCAACAAAAAGCAATTATAAAAATAAAAACACCTCACTTGGCCATTAAACTTGTATTAAATTATATTTTTACGTAGCCTAGACTCCGAAAAGAAAACCAGCAGTTATTATGCCTTTATTTCACGTTTTAAGAAGTTAAACTTTGCTTTTTCGTTATCTTTCTCGAGATCAAACTGTTTCATCAACATGATTATTGAGGAGGAAAGAAGGCTGTATGTTGTAAAGTGATGAAGGCATGTCTAGTTGAGTTGAAAGCTGTTATTGGTCGATGCTTTCTAGTAGGCGGGTCAATGATAATATTTGTGTTCTGCTGTTTAATTGGCTGATGGATGGTTCCTGAATTTGTTATCTGCTGTTTGATTGGCTGATGGAGATTGTGGGCGAGTCCCGTCTGTATTTGGGGTGTTAGTTACACACGCGTGTCGTTAGATTTGATTCAGAAATATGCTTTGCTGACACTTGTATTAGACCTCCATCAGACAAATCGTTCAACATCAACTGAAAGACATGGACGACCCTTCAGCTCAGTTTCAACACGAGGTAAGTTTAAGAAAACAGTACTTTGATAAGAAACCAAATATGTTTTTTTGTCAAACTTTACAACATGGACTGGGTTCAATCCATATATACATCCATGAAATTTGGGGCAACTGATGGAAAAGGGCTCATTTGTTTTTTTGAAGTTGTGTAATAATGTTTTTGTGTAATAGCAGCCTTATTGTAGAATTGCTGAGATCTTAAAAGTTACCTGCGAAATGTATGCAGGTAAAAATTAAAATAAGAAAGGACAGGACTAGGCTATTAAGAATGATAAACTTACTAAAGCGTTGCAGTGTTCAAAAGAAATAAAAGAAAGCCATCAAACATTACTGTTTTGTGGGATTTTTTATACATGCAGTTTGGACTTTATTTATTTGTATTATTATTTTTGTTATCTTTACTGTCATCATCTTGAAGCAGTGTGTGTATATACCCTGCAGTTCAAAAGTATGGGATCAGAACGTTTTTTAATGTTTTTTAAAGACGTTTCTGAAGCTCATCCAGGCTGTATCTATTTGATCAGAAATACAGAAAAAAACTATAATTCTGTGAAATATTATTGCAATTTAAAATAAGAGTTTTCTATTTTAATACACTTTAAAAGATCATTTATTCCTGTGATGCAAAGCTGAATTTTCAGCATCATTACTCCAGTCTTCAGTGTCACATGGTCCTATAGAATCCTAAGGATTCTTTGATGAATAAAAGTAAAAAAGAACAGTGTTTATTAAAAATAGACATTTTGTGTTACAATATACCTGTACACAATTCAAAAGTTTGGGGTCAGTACATTTTTCTTTCTTTTTTTTAAGAATTAATTATTTTATTCTGCGAGGATGTGATGACTTATATTTTGATGAAAATGTTTTTATTTTGAATAAATGGTGTTTTTGTTCACTTTTTATTCATCCAAGAATCGAAGAAAAAGTATCGCAGGTTCCAAAAAATTATTAAGTAGCACAACAGTTTCAACATTAATAATAAATCAGCATGTTAGAATGATTTCTGAAGGATCATGTGACACCGAAGGCTGGAGTAATGGCTGATAAAAATTCATCACTGCATCACAGATATAAATTATATTTGAAAGTATATTAAAATAGGAAATCAATATTAGAAATTTCAATAATATTTCACAATATTAATGTTTTTCTGTATTTTTAATCAAATAGATACAGCCTTGTTGAGCATAAGAGACAAAAAATCTTACAGTCCCAAACATTTGAATGACAGTGTGTGTGTGTGTGTGTGTGTGTATATATATATTAGTGCTGTCAAGCGATTAATCGCATCCAAAATAAAAGTTTTTGTTTACATAATATATGTATGTGTACTGTGTATATATGTATTATGTATATATACATTTTAAAATATAATTGTAAAAAAATTAAGTTACTTTAAACTGTAATAATTTTTCACAAAAATATTTTTAAATCAAATAAATGCGTCCGACTTCTTTTAAAACATTTTTTTTTAAATACAACCCCAAAGTGTGTAACAACTTCAACCCCCATTTGTAGTGTATTATCATAATAAGTAGTGAAGTTATTTTGAAGGTCTAGCATAGGGACCGTGTATATTGATGTGCCGATATAATAAATGTATATGCACATTAGATATATATTCTTAAAAAAGCAATTAGAGCGTATTTTTGAATTGCAAAAGAATCCTTTTTTGTATTTGAATATTGGGCTGTAAGTGGGGAGTGGAGGACAGTCAGAAAAGCTTTGGGCCCAAGGTCTCTGTAACATTGGGGGAGGCCACCCACATTAAATTAGTCTCATCTGTCATGAATTCAAGTAACTGGGTTGGTTAAATAAACATTTCACTTTGTGCACCTGATCCAGACACACCCAAGACTGCACTACTGTTTCAGGGTGGGTTGCCATTTACCCCAATGAGAAGAGTTAATTCATAAATCAGTTCTCTTTTATGCACACAAAGATCTATCAGCCTGTCTACACTTTAACACAGTTGCATCATCACACACCCAGCTGTAGGCGTGTGTATTCACCTTTCACTCAGCTTACCTTTATACCTTCTTTCTCCCAGTTATTCTTGATTTTTTTGTATTATCTGATTAATTGTTTTCACTTGGTTGCTCAGTGAAGTAAATTCACAACCTCCTACGTAAGCTAGAGCATTTATTTACTTGCGTGACTTCAGTGAGAGGGCAACAAGTTCAAGGTCTTTATGACTGACTCCATTATAAATGCTGTGACCACCGCTTAGAAGTTTTGTTTGTGTACCAGCATATAAAGTGTGCTCACTCAGAAGACCGCAGTGTCATGGCCTTCAGGTTAACACACACGCTTTTTACACGGAAACAGCAAAGCTGGAATGGACATATGCTGATTATAGGGTCTGAAAATGGTCAAATATGCTTGAAAACATTTTTAATCACAATGTGCACAGCTCAATAGCTCACCTTGTAAACACCAATGGCAAAATCTTATCACTGATAATGAATTAAAATGACTAATGAATAGGTTGAATAGGTTACAAATTAGACTTTAAACCACAGTAAATGGCAAGCTGACTCCTGTTGTTCCCTAGTGTGTGATTCTCTGAGAAGACCAGTACATAAAAATGACAGTATGTTAGAACTAAACAACTTTGTTTTTTTCTTTGCCACTGTAACATTTTGTTTGCTCACTGGGGGAAACAACATTTATTTTGAACAACCCCAAAAATCTATATATTTTAATTTTTTTTAAATACATTTCAAAATAGCCAAAAATATATTTGCTAAAATATGTTTCAAATATATTGTGAGTCATTATTGGCTAAATATATTTTCAACACACACACATATATACTGTATATATATATATATATATATATATAGAGAGAGAGAGAGAGAGAGAGAGAGAGAGAGAGAGAGAGGTCATTTTCTGTATATTTTTGAAAATACATTTCATTTTTAAAAAGCATTAAAACTTTCACATTGTCTATAACACATGTGAACATATATCATTTACATAAAAATCAAAGAATATATACACTAGGCTATATACAAAAATTAAACATTATTAAATCATCATAAATCTAATTTTGATATCCAGTAGGCTACTCCACAAACATGTATTTAGCCTAAACATAGGCTACTATTGCTTCTGAAATACAATTTGATATGTATTTTGATATATGAAGGTTACTAAATATATCAATAAAATCAATTTCAAAAATGTATTTCATATAAGCAACATTAAGTATACATTTAAAATATTTTTTGCAGTATTGGATAGTAAAACTTTAAATTAAACTCTAAATTAACCTGAAATTAATTGATCTGAACTGAACTCAAAGGTCTGTTGTACCTGAAGAAAGCTATCTGCATTCCCATTCATCTCAATAGCAGTTGTTCTGCTTTACTCCCATAAGTACGCAGTTTGGATTCTGCCATCTCTGCTCATGGGCTCATTCAGGTTTTTTTTTTTTTTGAGCCAATCACCTAAGCCATAACTGGATTCATGCCAACCAGCCAAACATTTACCCCTTGTCTGAACTGATCTGATCTGCACTGAAATTAACTTGTCTGATGTGAACTGATCTAATCTGAACTGAATTGAACTTACCTGAACTGAAATGTTTCTATTTTCAGTTCCACATCTGTAGTGTGCACCGTAGATGTCACTGACATTTACTTTAAGTAGAAAACAAAGCAGAGACACAAAGCACTTTATTGGTCTAGTGTCATATTTCAGACTCCCTCAGTGGCAGCACAACATCTGACCATACAACCAGGGCTCATAAATGCACTGATTACCTTTTTATCATATCAAAAGAAGTAATTACAAGTGATCTTACATCAATGATTCTCAACCTTTTTGACTCCAAGGCCCCACATTGTCCACAACGCCTAAGCCATAACTGGATTCATGCCAACCAGCCAAACATTTACCCCTTGTCTGAACTGATCTGATCTGCACTGAAATTAACTTGTCTGATGTGAACTGATCTAATCTGAACTGAATTGAACTTACCTGAACTGAAATGTTTCTATTTTCAGTTCCACATCTGTAGTGTGCACCGTAGATGTCACTGACATTTACTTTAAGTAGAAAACAAAGCAGAGACACAAAGCACTTTATTGGTCTAGTGTCATATTTCAGACTCCCTCAGTGGCAGCACAACATCTGACCATACAACCAGGGCTCATAAATGCACTGATTACCTTTTTATTATATCAAAAGAAGTAATTACAAGTGATCTTACATCAATGATTCTCAACCTTTTTGACTCCAAGGCCCCACATTGTCCACAACTATATTCAAAGGCCCCTTAACTTTTTCAGTCATTCGTAATTTACTGGTTAAGTTAAAAGAAATATATTTTTTAATAAGTTAGTTTCTTGTACATTCTTTTTAAAAATGCAAGTTTTCTTTGATTTTTTGTTGTTTTTGCTTTTTTATCATTTTAGGTGGCCTTCTCTGAAGTTTGCTTATAAGTTGTCTAATATGTTGTTCAGTTTAATTGGTTTTGTGCATTGGTTCTGATAAGGTGATATTAAAGCATGTTTCACTGTATTCATAAAATAAAATGATCCGCCCTGATAGTGTTTATTGTTATACCATGCTACACCAACCTGAAATGTTTACAGGTGTATTTGGTAAGAAGGCACCTGCCAAGCAAATGAATGTGAATGCAAATCGGCCACAAAAACATGACTGATATTGTGAGAGTTCACTGAAAGTTTATGCAAACATGCTCTTATTGTAATACCAGTGTGCACAGCCACATACAAACATGGTCAATTGTCTGTTTTACATGATGTCTTTCTGTTTAGGATTTGATTGATATTTTATGGAGGCAGGATGTCGATTTGGGGGTGAAGCGAGACGTCTTTGATGGATGTCTTCGGCAGAGAGAGGAGGAGATCATGAGAGCAAGAGAAAGAGAGCTTAAAAGGATAATGCAAAGGATACAGAAACTAGACAAGGAAACTGGAGAGTTTTTGCCTAGTCCTTCATCTGTGAACTCCCAGGTGACCATTTTATTAACTACACATGTAAACAAATTAACAGTGTGCATCCCTAATATTAATAAATCTCTCAAATGAACACCTGTGTGCACACCCACACACTCTCTATTGTTTCGTGTTGCTTACAGAGCTATTTTCACCATGTTTTAGGCTGTGCCCTTCTCAGAGACATTGCATTCTACTGAGTTTACTCAGCGTTCACCTGTTACCCAGAATCCTCTGCTGTCTGCACTGCTATTCTCTCAGAAGTCTAAGAAGCCTCCTTCTCAAGAGCAGGCTTTTAGTGAACTGTTGTCACTGCCTGACTTACAGGTACTTATGTACACAATGCAGGAAGACACACACAGACATGCCTGAACTGGTGCATGGTTGGCGTTTCATTATGGAATAAATTTTCTTTCTTGCAAGTTTACAGACAAAGTTACATTAAATTTGGGTAACCGTAAGTTGTAAGAGGCTGTATGGTAATTATAAAGCCACTGAATTTATTAAATCACAAATAAGTCAGCACATTCTTAATAGAGTTGCCTTTCTACCTTAGAAAGATATAGTGAGCATTTAATGATGGTTTAAATGAAGTGTAAAAAAGATTAAAAGTTAACATAATTGACAGCTGCCTAAACTGTTGTTGGTAGCTTCCATACAAGATTAGATCTATATTTTAATATATTTACTCATGTATTATTTCCAAATTGTAACTACAGTATGATTCAACCTGTTTATTTTAAATGTGCTTTATAAATTAAAGAAGAAAAGAGGTTTTGTCTTGGCTGTGAAGTGAGTGGCAATTATATTTGCACAAACACAATTTCATAAAAGTATCTAGTTGTCAAATCAATCTGTTAGGTATATTTAGGTAAACATTAATACCAGATAAGGGATTATAACCAAGTATCTAATCAGTAATATTAAAAACGTTAAAGCAATAGTAATTCATTTGAGGTGTGTGCTTATTTGCGATATGATGAGTTAATGTTTAGATTTTTCATGGAATAGCATGAAGGTAATGTCCCCACTATCGTAAAATGGCATTCTGACATATCACAATTGTCTCTAGCATGGCCTTGTCTCACATGTAACCCACAGCTCACACAATCCACTCTCAGAAAAAAAGGTACAAAAGTTGTCACTGGGGCGGTACCTTTTCAAAAGGCACACCTTTGTACCAAAAGAGTCCATAATGGTACCTTAAAGGTACATATTAGTACCTAAAAGGTCCAAAAGTGTAACTTTTGAAAAGGTACCGCCCCAGTGACAGCTGTTGTACCTTTTTTTCTGAGAGTGGATCCTCTGCTAGGATAGTGACTGCATTGAGTGTGCTTGTGACCACTGTCCTGTTTCATAAAATAACAAGTGAGACACCCCTCAGTGAGAGGAGAATGTGCTTTTGGAGAGAGGGAGCGGTCTGATTCAATGGCCAAATCTGGCAGAAGTCAGCAAAATGGCAAATATCACTTACAGCACCTTTAATACTTTTTCCCCCCAAGTGATAAAATGGTCCCAATCACTTTAGAACACATTTTGTGTTAAATTCAATATATTCTTTTTCAATGCATGTTCCATTTATTTACTCAAAACTACAATAAAACAGTAATATTGTGCAATATCATTACAATTTGAAATATCCGTTTTCAAATTTAAAAATAAACATGATTTATTCCTGGGATGGCAGTGCTGAATTTTCTGTCACATGATCCTTCAGAAATCATTCTAATATGCTGATTTGCTGCTCAAAAAGCATTCCTTCTTATTTTCAAAGCTTAAATATTAAGTGCTGTTTAATATTTTTGTGGACACTGTGATATATACAGTATATTTTCAGGATTCTTTGATGAATAAAAAGCTTCTATTTGAAATAGAAATCTTAGGTAAATCCCTTTCATGTAACTTTTCATCAGTTTAATGCATCCTTGCTGAATAAAAATTAATATCTTTCAAAGAAACTTAGTGACCCCAAACCTTTAAACAGTAGTGTAAATATTTTAGATTACCATGTACAGCCTATGCACATTTCCAATAAAATCTCAGTGGGCATATGAATAATACGCAATCCATTGATATACATGTTATATTTTTAATACAAGTAAAACATTTGTGACTCCAAAAAGTTTATACGAAATATATATAAATGTGGAGGTTGCAAAATAATATCATACCTCTTTGTAAACTGCAGAATAAAATAATCAGAATAATTTTTTTCTCACAAAAATTTCAAAGAACACAGCAACATTATGCTAGTGTTTAGCTGCATCAAAGGACTGCCTCTACATTAAAATGTTTAAATAACATATCTTACATATTATAACACGTTTGAACTTCCTATGAACAGAATTCCTCATTAACACAGAAACTTGAGTCTAAACTTGAAGTTTATTATACTTCATAGTGTAGGCACTTTCCATGTACACATAATTTTAGACAAAGGCATCACACAGTGGAAAAAAAGATTTACGTCAACTACATTTTTATATAAGAGATCTAATTCTACTGTTGCAGCAGGCAGGTTCCTGGTATGGCATTGTGAACAGGCAAAGAAGTAGTTTGGAATTGTGTTGGGAACACTTGAAATATTCACAAACTTTGATTTAATGGCCCTTTCTCCATCCTACTGATCTATAAAGATGGTTTAGCCTCAACAGAACTAACAATCTTTTAATGCACATAGGACATTAAAGACATCAATCATTTCAGCCAGATCAATCACTTCAGATCAGAGGAGTGAGAAATGTTGGGCAAATTGAGGTGCTCAGGGTAGTGAGCCTTTGGAATGGTGCAAGGACCCCGACTGGCTCTCTCGGTCGTGCTCCTTAAAGTAAGCCTGTTCAATACGATGGCAGAAGGAAAGCAGGTTGGTGTAGGATTTAACCTTTTCGGCAAGCTCGTCGTTGGTCAGTTGTGTGGTGAGTATGGTGAAAAGATGACCAAACACTAGAGCATCTAGTTCAGTTGGCCTGTGACATTGAAAGTACAACAATTAGTGAAGACAGCATATGAAAACAGAGTTATGTTACATGTCTATATGTGTACAGACATTCAGAACTCACTGATGCTCAACTTCTGGTATTGTAGTGTATGTGCACAAAACGTACTGTTTGTTGAAAAAGTAGGGCTGTGTTCCCAATCGCTGTGACAAGGCCTGACAGCACTGACTCACATCTTCATACACCTGAGAAGAGGAAATCCGCACGAAACTTTATGTACCGCACATTGATGAAAGAAAAACACACAAACTGACTTGGGACAGTGAATTACACTGAATTAATATATGTGCACACAAAAAATACCTGCTCCAGACTCTTTCCAGACCATCCAATCGCAGTCATCTTCCTCTGTACCTCCCACTGCTTCTGATAGGCCAGAATGTGATTGAGGGGCCAAGAATAGGGACTACTGTATCGTGGCCTAGAGATCTAAACACACACTCCCATTAAAAATCTAACATGATGTTATATATTTATATATCTATCTATCTATATGCTGACATTTAGTGCCACTGATGTCATCTTTGTTAATATGATATATTATATATGATTTGGGAACATCCTTGCACGTGACACATACCTCTGTAGCAGTATAGTCATCACACCACTGGATATACAACTAGAAAGAACAGGTAAAGTTTCACTAGTCTGCACAGTTTATCACTTTTAAAATATTTATGTAAAGATAAAATACATATAATTAGAGAAATCCACAAGCAAAGATACAAAATGTGCTGGAAATTGAGCTTTTTTTATACAAATGTATCAATCAGATTTTGTGCATATGGCTACCATTCAAAGGTTAGGGGTCAGCAAGTGTTTTTTTTTTTTTTAATGAATTAATCTTCTTTTATTGAGCATGGATGCATCATATTGATCAAAATATACAATTGTTACAAAGTAACATTCCATTTCAAATAAATGAAAGCAGCACAACAACATAAGCAGCACAACAACAACATAATATTAGTAATAATAATAATAGTATTTTATATTATATTAGTATATTAGAGTAATATATTAATAGTACATTCGAAGGATTTCTAAAGGATAATTGACACTGAAGACTGGAGTAATGGCTGTTAAATGTTCAGCTTTACCATCACAGGAATAAATTGTTTTTTATATCAAATAAATTATATTTTAAAATATATTCAAACAGAGTTGTTTTTGTAAAACATACTTCATAATATTACCTTTTTACTGTATTTGAACCAACTAAAAGCAGCATTGGTGAGCATAAATACTTCAAAACAAAATTGTACCGACCCCAAACTTTTGAAAGGTTTTGCATACCGACGCGTGCAGGTCTGTACCTCTGCAGTCAGCAGCATGTTATTGACCAACTCCATGTAAGCCTTCATCTCTGCCCTCTGGACATCATCCAACCAATCACTCAGAGAATGACCCTATGGACAGCAACAGTCAAATATTGTAGGATTCATGTGGAATTAGTTTTTAGAGTGAGAGTGATACCTTTGCCTTTGTGAACTGAACAATCAGCCCCAATTCTGACACAACTTGATTTCCAACGTGGATGAAAGGAACCTTCCCTAATGAACAGAGGAGAAGAAGAGACATTTCAAGACATATAAACAAACTCTAACTAATACATTCATCCTGACAAAGCCCGAAGCTCTTAACCACCACCCTTCCAACATAAGATAAGACTAAGTAAAGCATTAAAAAAATAAAAGAAAAACCTGAAAATGAGTGCCTGTAAAGTAAAGAGTTTGGTTGCTCACCTGAAGGTGACATGTATTCAGCATTGGCACGGCAGGACACCAGCACTGGCAGGCCACACATCCTCAGAAAAGTCTGCAAAACAAGAATAACTTCACTAACAAAAATATATATGTGGGCTTCAAGTTGCAATGTGAATTGGTGAGTGTGTAAATTGACAAAGTGATTAAGGCACTACTTTTCACCTGAACGGCCAGAGAGGATGCAGAATCTGACAGCAAGATTTGATCCTCTGCAAAAAAAACCAGAAAAGAATATTAATGTGTGTTTCATTTGACATCTTTTGCAGTTGCAAAGAGTTCATTCTAAGTGTATAACTACTAAACAGCTTCTTTTTTTTTTTTATCGGTTACCCTTAAGAGGTTGGTACAGAGTTGCATTTTCAGGCCATGGCTCAGCAGCTGCAATAGAAAATGACATGATATGAAATCTCACAAATAATACTGTATCTTTCCATTTTTTAGAAACTCTGACCCTAAAATATCTATCTACGCTCTATGTGGGCTTACATTACATTAATAAACATTTAATGGGTTTCTTTATCTTTGACCCTGACAGTAGCACTGAAAACAAAAGAACTGTATCTGCTAACATCTCAAATAAAAGACTCGTAAACAGAAGCAGTGGCTTAACTCTACTAATATGCAGAGAAATGAAATGACTGTGTTGAAGGTAAATACCGATTATTATCATCTTGACCTGCCCAGCTCTAGCACAAAACACTAACACAGCCATATGGACTCGCTGCATTACACACAAGCCAAAATATTACCTGCAATCTGAGAGACGAAAGCCTCTGCAGCAAGAGACATGGCGGCGCAGAGGAAATCTACTTTAATCTAAGCACAACAACTGATCGAAAAACTGAAATGGCATTCATTTCCCACACAAGGGCAAAGCAAGCTCCTGTCCCAGTGTAGTGACGTCACTCTGGAGTTTTTCCTGCTTTCTAGCCAATCACGGTCCTCCTCCTTCTTCTTCTTCTTTTAATTTTATTGGTGGTTGGCAAACCAACTTAAAGGTGTATTTACCGCCACCTATTGGACTGGAGTGTGGGCAGTAGCTTGATAGAAAGGAAGGAAACGATCATTTATTTTTTACCTATATATTTCTATTAAATTCTTTCACGTATCCCAGTATTTTTCAAGTAATTCATTAGGATACTATGTATTTTCCTAGACATTGTTTTTTCTAGCAGATTTCCATGTTTTCATGTTTTGTTTTCCAACTTGTGTTTCTAACTGACTTCTTTCTTCTGCCTTTTACAATCTAATAAAATATGTTTTAATGTCTCTTGTGTGTTGCAGTGGTTGCAAAGGCAAGTGGGGGCTCTGTCATGTAAAATTTAAACCAGCATGACCTATTCTAAGACGTGTAATTATCTTTCGGATACCTGCTCTGCTTAATACTACACTGTAAAAAAAATTTACAGTAAAAAAACGGCAGCTGTGGTTGCCAGAATTTTACCGTAAAAAATGCGGTAGCAACATTTTTGGTTTTACGGTTTTAACTTAAATTTACAGATAAATACCGTAATTTCATTAACTGATATAATGTTAATATACCAACCGATTGAAGTACTGAAATCTGTTTTGTACCTTTGTAATACACTAATAATTGTAATACCAAATGCAGGTGGTGATGAGAAAGTCACACGATGAAGCAAAGCCCATCACAAGCAGCTTTTAATTAATAACATGTATAGAAGGTGCACAGTGTTATTCACACAAACACTAAACACCATCATGGTAACACACATGAAACTGAATTAATGCAATAAACATTCATTTAACAACATAGCCTCTGCAGCAAGAGACATGGCGGCGCAGAGGAAATCTACTTTAATCTAAGCACAACAACTGATCGAAAAACTGAAATGGCATTCATTTCCCACACAAGGGCAAAGCAAGCTCCTGTCCCAGTGTAGTGACGTCACTCTGGAGTTTTTCCTGCTTTCTAGCCAATCACGGTCCTCCTCCTTCTTCTTCTTCTTTTAATTTTATTGGTGGTTGGCAAACCAACTTAAAGGTGTATTTACCGCCACCTATTGGACTGGAGTGTGGGCAGTAGCTTGATAGAAAGGAAGGAAACGATCATTTATTTTTTACCTATATATTTCTATTAAATTCTTTCACGTATCCCAGTATTTTTCAAGTAATTCATTAGGATACTATGTATTTTCCTAGACATTGTTTTTTCTAGCAGATTTCCATGTTTTCATGTTTTGTTTTCCAACTTGTGTTTCTAACTGACTTCTTTCTTCTGCCTTTTACAATCTAATAAAATATGTTTTAATGTCTCTTGTGTGTTGCAGTGGTTGCAAAGGCAAGTGGGGGCTCTGTCATGTAAAATTTAAACCAGCATGACCTATTCTAAGACGTGTAATTATCTTTCGGATACCTGCTCTGCTTAATACTACACTGTAAAAAAAAATCCGTAAAATTTACAGTAAAAAAACGGCAGCTGTGGTTGCCAGAATTTTACCGTAAAAAATGCGGTAGCAACATTTTTGGTTTTACGGTTTTAACTTAAATTTACAGATAAATACCGTAATTTCATTAACTGATATAATGTTAATATACCAACCGATTGAAGTACTGAAATCTGTTTTGTACCTTTGTAATACACTAATAATTGTAATACCAAATGCAGGTGGTGATGAGAAAGTCACACGATGAAGCAAAGCCCATCACAAGCAGCTTTTAATTAATAACATGTATAGAAGGTGCACAGTGTTATTCACACAAACACTAAACACCATCATGGTAACACACATGAAACTGAATTAATGCAATAAACATTCATTTAACAACATTAGGTGTAACACACAAACCTAATATACAAAACTGATAAGAAAAAAACAAGAAGAAACATAGTTATTTCAACAAAAAACATCAAATTTGAAATGTAACGTAAGGAATTCTGGGAATGTCAATTTACGGTTATTCACTGTAAATTATACTGTCTTTTTCCACTTCCAAAAAATACTACCGTAAAA